GGAACAGCAACAATGCGAAATTCAGTGCTTGCGCAACCAGAGCGTTACTTGGCCAAGGGCGTTCACGTCAAAGGTTTGAGGTTTACCTATGCATCCACTGAGAGATCGAACAGGAAGCTGTTATGCAAGCACAACAGCTTTGTTGAGAAAACAGAAATTTCTCATTCTCTAGCAAACCCTACGTGCTTTTAGACTGTGCACCCCATCGTCAGTATGTTGTTATGAAGCCATCAGAAAAGCAGCAAGTGAACCACAGAACAAGGAATGCATTCCACTGACCCGCATCCCATTAGCTGTGGTAACATTCTATGTTTTGCCCATGTGTGCAAGTAACGCAACATGTACAGAACTCGATCCTGCGTTTCATATGTTCTTTCAATGCTTGCGAATGCAACTGTGCAAGTCATGCACACAAACCCCTGATCATCCCAGAAGATTCTCACACTCTCCGACTCATCTCAGCCACCCAAGCACAAGAACTTATGATGGCTGCATCCACCACACCTACCTGTTTCTGAAAATGCAAGTGCCGGACCCAATATGCATGCAGATTGATAAACTATTACCTGCAGTATGCAACAGAGTCCAAGATATCTCTGCTAAGCGGGAGTGCCCATTACAGCACATGCCTTCTTCATGTACTTCATACAACACTTCATCATCAACCACAACTAGTCACGGCACAAATGGCCTCCATCTTGGAAAAGTGTAGAGCGTGGAGACGGCCAGGAAGGCAAGAGTCACCCCTCCTGTGGAGCCTCCAATGTCTCACCTGATACTTTGTGACTCGCTTGTCTCTTTTCTTCACAAAGGAGGCCAGCTGCCGTACTGATTCAGTGAACTCCCTTTTTGCCAATTTCCTCAGCTTCTTGTTTTCTTCCTCCATCAACCTTCTTACCTGCAAAGGAATGTCACAAAGCTTGCTGCATACATGCCCACTCAACTCACTCCCTATTGTACACATTCTCCATCAAGTTCAACAACTGCCCTTCCAAATTGAGCGAAAGACATGCATCAACCAGATCACGATTCACATCCAGTGCTGTTTTTTTGGCACCAACAATTTTTGAAGTTGCCATAGCTAGGCGATGCAGGGCAAACACAGCTGATCAGCACAGCAACAGGACATACAGAAAACGAATTTAAAATTGCTTGTCGCATACTGTTCCCGTCGATCCTGTTGAACACTCAATGTGGAGTACCTTTCTGTTAGGGGCAGTTCCAGTGTGATATTCATCCATCCACGCAAAGTCCTGAACTGTTGTGAAGTTGAGCCAGGATGCATAGAATGCCTGCACAGACTTCCATTCCGTCTCTGAATTCCCGAACTCGGGGAAATCATCCAGCTCTCGCAGGTCCTCCTGCACACTCCTTTGCCTGTACGCATCAACTTCCATGGCAGCAAGCTTGCTGAAAACCTCAGCATAGACAAAATAGAATCCCTGCAAATGCAACAACCAAAAAGGGGTAAGGGGACATGGATAGCAGTGAAACGTCCCTGCAGATAACCTTCACACTGATTCTATTCCAGTTGTTCTTCCAGCCAGCACTGACTTCATTCAGCAAAGGATTCATTTGTATGACAAGACAGTCATTCAGTGCTGTCAGGGACAACTTTCAGCTTCTGTGCTGACCCTTGGGTTCAGCTCTGAAAGAACACTGCCTCCATTGTCAGTGCACAAAGCTACCATTCCTTTTGCCAGAAAGGTCACCACAACAGTGCTTTTCTGTTTGAAACAAGGGCATCTGTTATTAACAATATGTTGAATGCAGAGCCACAGCACACCGCAGAGATGTTCCGTGAGCACCAGTAGATGCCAACCCGACTGTCGATGGTTGTTGCGTCTACTGCTGCTACAAAGAACGATTCTGCACAACCCAATTGCAGTTTGAGTCGTGTGCAGCCTACAACTGAATTGTGTCTGAATTGCAGCAACTAAAGTCCACAACACCAAACTGTTTATCACAGCACAGCACCCAGCAAAACAAGGCCAACCTTGGGTCCATCGTGGTAGCCGTTGTAACATCTGTTGCTGAAGAACTGGTAGAGGTTCACATCACGGGGACGAGCAGACGAACCAGAGAAGTCACCCGAAAAGCTCCCACCACCCTGATACTGCTGGTCAGAGCGCAAGATGGCATCGCGGTGATTATCATACCTGCAAGGTTTCCTGCTGTTTAGTGAATGGATGTAGGCTACTGAAAGAGGGATGTGGGACATGAAGATTAGAATGCAGCGTGTCCCTCGCCAGTAAGTTCCCAACGCATGCACAGTGCAGAAGCTCATTCCTGAAACGGCAGCAACATCGCTCCAGCAGGTTGAAACCCACCGCCACGCAAGGGAAAAGAACAGCTATCATCAATTCATTCAATGGCAGGACATGAGCAGGATTCACATTGCCCGTGTGAACACACCACTTTGGCTGCTCTGAGCAAGTTATTTCCAGATGCTTGAGAATGTTGCGATTGAACAAGTGGATGGCAATCAACCATAAATGAAAGGCAAAGAACCTGCGCGACCCAAATGTCGCCAACCCTTGTGCTGGTGTAGATGCTCTAAGCCAATGGTTTCCAGAGCATTCTGACACCGTTTAATACAAGACACTGGTAGACGGCAAGTGCGGCCACCACTGCAAGGGGGGAATACCAGCCAGTGAGTCAAGGAGCAACTGTCTGCAGTGTATGTTGCACCACAGAATCAGATGGAGGTTTTCTGTGAGAGTTGCAAAATGTACATATATTGTATGCACTAATACTGCTTGCAGAGTCTCCAATCCTGCCATCGCTAAATTTCACCAGCAATTTAGTTATTGTGCGGAGGAGAAGAGACCAAGATAGAATGCAAGGTGATAGGGGTGAGCGCTGAGTTCTCCAAGACTGCTCCACGGATTCCCAGCCCCACTATCTATTCAGTTTTCACGGATGCAAAGCCAACTGACCATGCCCTCTCATGCTTGTCGCTGAGGATTTCATAAGCATTCTGTATTTCCTTGAACCTCTCCTCTGCTTCCTCTTTTCTGTTCTGATTCTTATCTGCAAAAGAAGCACCAAAGTAGCCATCATTATTTGCTCTCAGCACCGCCAACCCTTCTGGCGAGCCGTCTGCAGAACGGACTTCAACACTAGTGACATCGCCTGAAGGGGGTACAAGTGCATTGCCATAACATTTTGGCCCTTGCTATCAAGATGGAGACAATCATCAATATGTGCTGCAGTTCACCAGCACGCACGAATTACAAAGCTCGTTCAATTGTCCTGCACAGTGCCAAACGCGGCAATGGAGACCTCACACATCCTCTTGCATTCAGAAACTTGTCATCTCTACGAGCATGTGGCCATTACTCTGACACACTTGTTCTCTCAGGAGGGTGCCCGGCTCTGCTCCTTCGTTTGCAAACATCGAATTCGCATCCAGGTGGCTGCCGAATCAATCAATCACTCCCAAAGATTGAAGGAACACACCATGCGAGAGAATGCTAGACAATGGACGATATGCTGCTCACATACGAAATAAAGCAATCTGAGCAGAGCATCGACTCGGCACCCCGATTCACGAGGCCAAAGCTTTGCAGATGAAACAGCGAAGTTCCATAACGCGCGCCGGCTTCTGCCGAGCTTCCCCGCGCAATCCAACCGCCAATCAACCATCCCAGGCCAGCTGTGACGAACCCGCGGCATCCCATCCCCCCGCTTGTTCAATTCAGAGCCCCATGGACTTGCGCTCCAGAGATGGATCGCTCACAGAGGCACCCGATTTGAGAATGCCGTTTGCCTTGTAGGCTCATGCCGACAAAGCGGCCGCCAGCTGCTTGCCTGGATGCCACACAAGCGCCTGTTTCCGATACACTTTGCGTATGGTCTCATCGTCTGCGTCCCTGGCGACGCCCAGCACTTCGTACAGACACTTCATGTTGGGGAGCAGAGGCGTGGAACGACCGCCACCCTGCGGCGAGTTGGTCCAAGATTCACGGGCCAATGGTTTAAACCTCTCCTGCGTCGTCCATCGGAAAGCAGCGGCTTGACGTAGTGGAAAGGACATAATTTTTTGTTTTATTGTGAGGCCCAAAAATCTTTCCATCACAGTGGGGCATGAAGTCTCAAAGCCGGCCCCTGAATCAGAAAGGGAAAATGACAAAAGGGGGTCCTCTGTGAGATATCTTGACAAAAGGGGGTCCTTTGTGACAAAAGGGGGTCCTCTGCAAGGTTGCATTTGACAAAAAGGGGTCCTCCGACAGTCCCCCGTACATTAGACGCATTGCTAGACCGGCGCCAGACCGGACCATGGTCCTACTAGGGGCGACCCCTTTGGGAGGGCGCTATAGCGATTGGGGCATAAAGGGGATTCGCAGCAATAGGGGTTGCCGGGGAGATTGTTACGCATGAAGGCCTCATGTGGGGACACACTACTACAGTCTCCTGGTGTGAGGGATGCCCTGCCCAAAACATAGTAACAACGCCTGAACCGGACCACAGACTACTATACAATATGGGAGTAGGCCGGGGTGGCTCCGCCTAGGTCCTTGTAAGGACCTAGGTGCCCGGCGAGGCGGGTCCATAGTTTAAACAGCGCAGGCGCCCAACACTAACAATCTTCACGAATCATTTGGTTTCGCAGCCACTTGGGGGTGGCTCGCATACTTTCGCTGGGCAAGGAGAGGACAACATTTGGAGATTCCGTCCCCGGTCTTCCTCATGGAGGCTGAGGAACTGACCCTGTAGCCCGTGAGGGCCAGGCCGATGATGTGGCCGAGTGCACAGCCAGAGATAGCAAACCAGCTGAGGAGGCGGGTGTTGTGGAGGTATCCCATGAGGGACGGTTGGAAGATGAGGGACCAGTCCAGGAAGACACACCAGAACCATCCGCTAGTCGATCGCAGGCTGAGGAGCAGGACCAGCTGATGAAAGAAGCAGGGGAAGTCCCCTTAGCCGAGACGGGCGCAATTGTGGCGTTTCTCCAAGCTCTGGGAATAATATAGCTATTGGAGAAGATGGCGGTGACAGTGGCTGCCAAGGCACAATAGAAGTGGCCATACTTGGGTGCCATCCAGTCCGTTAAGTCCGGTCCGTAAAACTGAGTGTGATATTCGTCCGGTAATATCCGGTCCGCTATTTGCCGTATTGCCGTCCGCAGAATCCGGCTCTCACTTTTTCTTCACGGTTATTTGCCATTAAGTTAACGGATGACGTGGGCGGCGTCCAGTCCGCAACAAAATATCCGTTGATTAATAATTTTGGTCCGTTATTACCCACAGGTACTTGCTTTCCAGCCACGGCAAGGTCAAGGCGAAGTTGCCAAGGGGTTTCCATTTTGCAACAACTCGAATTATGTTGGTTGCATGCTTGATAAATTTGTGTGGGCGTCTTCCAGGTCATGTATTCTGCGGTTTGTAATACATGGAGTGATTTGGAGAACTGAACAACACACAAGCCATGTGTAAAGTTCCAGTGTATGCATGCAATCCTGCACCACTTGCTACGGCTGGTACTGCTGCGTAGTACGTAGTGCGTACCACACTCCCATTGCAAGTCTTCCCGGCCATTCCAGCAAGGGTTCGGCATAGTTGTAATACCAAACGCGGACACACACACACCCACATCACCTGAGGCAGGTGGCAAAGAGGGTTCACATCTGAACACAGTTGAGCCACTCAACATACTTGGGAATGGGTGATACGTATCACATATAACGATGGGTTGCTGCGGCGGTACTCCACAGTTTCCACGCCAGGGCAGCGAGTGTAAAGCCCATCCACCAATTGCACTATTCGACTGGACACATTTCTCATAGAAAATCTATTCTATCTATATGATACCCTAGGTTCATCCACCATTCCAACATAGTACGTCGAAGTTCAACAGTTCAACATACATGAAAATGGGCAACGAATAGTACGAGTCGTGATTTGTTATCTACCATCTTTGCCTATCGCACCCTCGTGGCAGCGGTACTCCAAAAGTTTCCATGCCAGGGCAGCGACTGTAAAGTCTATCCACCAATCGCAGTACTTGTTGGGACGCATTTCTTGAATAAAATTTTCTTCTATCTATATGATACCCAAAGTTCATCCACCACTCCATGCCATGCGCGTGGACTGCTTTGCTGTAGTTAGTGTTTGCTGTTGCTTGTGTGGAGTCCGCACATCAACAGCCGTGGCAAGTGGTTCGGGGTTGGTCAGACGCCTTCTCTTGGCCCTGCGCTGTGGCACATCCTCCACCACAACGACACTCAAACTTGGCGATGCACCTCCAAGCGAATCAGTGTCCACAGAGCTCAAGACACCCCTCCCAGCAGCAACATCATGTGCGTCTGAGACTCCTCGCTTAGCAACAAATGCTGCGAGGTCAACGCCACCATCGCCGCCAACAGAGCCTGGCGCACACGTCCATTGCATAAATAACTGAGGCAATATATATTCGACGATGGATTTCAGATGTTACAAGGACGGTCTGAGGACACTTTCTTCTGTGAAATAAAGGTAGAAAAGCGTCTCACAACCATGGACTGTTCAGCGAATGTCACCTTCCTCGCCGGTGGCAGGCGGTACTTGGACTTCACCTCACAATCAGACAAGTTGTTTTGTTAAAAAAACTAATCCCCATCGGAGGAAGTCTCCGTGTCACTCCCTGTCGGGAGGCCGGAGTCCATGACATTGAACTCCCACCCAACCTATTAAAAAAATCGTCTTCAAGGAGTCTTTTTTCTGTGGCGTCTTAGCGACGGTTGGGTTATTCTATATTTTCTGCTAATAGACTTGTACCCCACCATGTGCTCCCCCCGGTGAAGCACCAAATCTATGATAGCCGCGCACTGACGTGTTTTATAAGCAGCCTGGCGATTCCTATCCATTTGTTTGCGTTCCTGCCTGCGACGCTTGTGCCATTCTCCCCAAGGCGGGGGGGGTTCTGTCTCTCGTGTTCTTCCTTTCGCAACCGTGCCCCTTCTGCCCCCCCCCAATGCATTATTAATGTATCCGCTTACGGCGGCTAATCGGGCCTGGTCCTTGGGGGCGAGGTGGTCTTGTATGGGCCGCCACACCCCCGAGGGCAGGCCACCCAACCCCGCTTCTTGTATTTCCTCTAATCTATCTGCTAGAGCTTCCCTATCGCGCTGAGCTTCCCTATCGCGCGCAGCTTCTATCCGCCGCCTGACTTTCACCCCTGCACGTCTCCTTCCCCCCTTCCTGTTGTGTCTGTGCCGGCGCTTTCGACCATCCTTGTAACGTTGGCCCCTGTTCAGAGGCCGCTTCCGACCTAACACAGAAACAGAATACAGTGTTTCCCCAGCCACGTGATGGCAGGTACTGCCACATACTGGTGGTACCACCAAAGCAAAGACAATAGGTATTGTAGGGAAATGCAACACGCCCTGTACAATGCACGGCCCCCTGAAAGGGACGAAGTGCTGAGGTTTCCCCAATCAGGTGATGGCGGGTACTGCCAAATAATGGTGGTGGCACCTACGCAAAGAAAGACGATGGGTATTGCAAGGACAATTCGTGCATGTTGTACATTGCATGGCTACATGGAAGGAACGAACTACCAAGGTTTCCCCAGCCAGGTGATGGCGGGTACTGCCGCAAAATGGTCATGCCACATAAGGAAAAACAGGCGATGCACAGAGGTACACGTCCACCGCACCTACACGTCCATCATGTTCAAGGCGCCTCTGCTTGCTTTCCGTTTCAGTATTGGTAGCGCCTGAGGATTCTGTGAATACAGTAACACAGGTGGTGAGGGTCGCAGGCAAAATCCCGGAGTGAAGTCAATCCCCGGCCATGATCTTCCCACCCGGCCATGTGCCACCAGGTTGGTGGCCATGTGCCACCCCCCATGGCCCGGAATTTCCCGCCACAGCAGGCGGTACTGAGGGCATTGCCCTGGCCACAAAGCAGGATAGCGCGCTATGCTTGTGCATCACCGGCGGATTGAATCCGGCCACACACAGGTTTTCAGCCAACAGGTCATCCGAGACCCCCCTTCCCCCGCGCGGCCCGGCATTTCCCGCCATGGCGGTGGTACTAATGGCGTCCCCTTGCCTTGCCTGTGCTGCGGCTTGCCTTGCCTGTGCCGCGGTATGCCTCACCTGGTGGGTCCATGACCCAAGCGTGGGGCGGCAGGCGTTGGAGACAGCGGATGGCAACAGGAGGGCAACAAAATATGTGTGCAGTCACAGCCAACGTCCGCTGTATGTGGACCCTGGCTGAGCCACGCTGGCAATCAACCCGATCCCCAGATTTGGAAATCAGTACTTACTGCCTGGGCTCTGCTGTCATCCGCTGATTCGGTACACACGTCCGCTGTCATCCGCTAGATTAGCGGATGGGGTACGTGGCTTCCGGTTCATAAGAGAATATCCATTAACACCCAAGCGGAATCCGCAGAGTCCGCTGATTGGGGCCAGCCGTCCGCTGCCATCCGTGCCACATCAGCAACAGAGAGGGCGTGGTCCGCTGAATTAACGGATATTAGCAGACGGCAGCCCCCGTCCGCTATTAACGGATCCGGGTGGCCACCTCTAAGGCACAAAAGGCCCGCAATCGGGAGGCGGTAGCCCGGATCGCGCTTCTTGAGATCGAGGCCGCTGTAGCTCAGTAGGAGGCATGCCATCATGAAGTTCCCTTTAGAAAGGCACGAGAGCAGAGCAAGGAAACTGAAGCTACCAAGGCCTCCACCTAGGAGGAGGTGGGCCAGCTAAGCGATCGCCTCCTAAGGGAGAAGCAAAAGACCCACGAGCAGCATAAAGAGTTGGAGCGCTCGCAAGCTTCGCCGGCTCCCATACAACCTAAGAGGGCACCCAGTCCGACTGGGCCGGGACCATCATTGCCAAGCATTGCAAAAACAGCTAGAGAATGGCAAGTGGCCAGCCAAACCGAGGTGAAGAGAAAGAGCCCTTCACGAGGTGAGCTTCGCCCATAGCCTGGGATAAGTACACAAGCAGCCCATCGGCCATTGTTCATAAACCTCGGGTTAAATTAGAGGTGCATGCAAAGA